GATAACGCCTATAGAGAAATATCACTGATTTTCCCCTTCATTCCCATTGTCTTCTCGAAGAGAGTGCATCGCGTTACTCAAACAACGATCGTGGGGCGAACACGAGGAGAAGGTGCATTTCGAAAGCGGTGTCATGTGCGGGATTGGCGTCTACAACTTGGTGAGTAGAGCCTGAAGTTGATTAATCCCCCAATAAGATGACAATGACGTGATATATAATAGTAGCACTTGTTTGACGGTACGCTCTTGCAGATTATCTCATCGCTTCCGCAAAAAGTTTTGAATCTCTTGGAATTCATCGGATTCCACGGTGATGAAACCACTGGGGAACAACTATTAGTCCAACAGACGGAGAAGTTCGAAGGCTTCATGTCGCTTTTCAGCTGCATTGCTCTTCTAGTGCATCAGAGCTACCTCCATTATATTTTCGGTAAGATTTTAACTCTGGAGAAGCGGGACCGTGTGTTCTCCTCCACACGTTCGCACTTCAGTTTTCCCGATTCTGAGTTCCGGAATCTAAATCTTCCGTTTGATCAGGAAATGGCGACTGTAATCTCGAGATGGTCGACAAAGTTGTCCAGCAGTTCATCGGTAAATTCCCGAATGGAGCCATCGGTCTCTACTTCCAAGGTCGAGCGCATCAGATTCACGGTCGCATCGAACGCGCTCTGGAACAATTCGAAGAAGCAAACAAGGTGATGGACGACTTCATCCCCTTTGACGCGTTCTTCAACTGGGATCACGCCTACCTATATTGGTGAGTGACAGCAGTCCACGACACCGTAGACTCGGAGCTCCATTCATCGTCATCAATTCATGATTTCTTTTCCATTCAATCCAGCGTGCTGGGTCGTTGGGACGATGCTCTGAGGGTTCTGGACGATCTGCATCGGAAATGCAGCTGGTCGGAGGCGACGTCGTTTTACTTGAAGGGAGTCTGTACCTACATGAAAGAGGTAAGGCGATTTTGATGATCTTCTCCGCTCCGACGCCCTCGGTGGCATATCTTGAAAATACATTGCGCTCACGGAAAAATTTATTTGATTCAGATCGAGGGCAACATCAACAATAACGCCTCCGGCTCACTAGAAGGTGTTCACGACTTGATGTCCAAAGTTGCACCTTCCTGCAAAAGAATAGCCGGCCGTACAATTCCGCTCGAAGTATTCTGCTCGATGAAAGCTCGCACTTTCCTGGAGCGCGGTCGACTCACGCTTCCCCACTATGTAGGAGCACTATGGGACGGCTATTTCTAATTGGAGCCGCATTGTTCGGCCCATTGCCGTGCATGCCAAGACCCTTGATGATTCGTATATGATCATTTCCAGGAACTGATGTACCTGTGGGGCTTCTTCAACATGTTCTCGAAGAACAATGACACACTGTCGAAAGTGAAGGCAGAAATCGAGACTGAGGTGGCTCGTATCAGGGCTTCGTACGAGAACGACGCTGCCTATCTCCCAGATTGGTGTCTCGTCAGGTTCTTGCAAGGCGTTATTCTCCGGTACGAGAAAAAGCTCGGCGCCGCTGAGGCAGCTTTCAGAGAAGTCATCATGCAGTGAGTAGTCCATGCTGTTCTACCCGACTCCATCAAATTCATTTTTGCATGAAATACTTTGTCTTGGTCCATCAATGGGTGATTGGAACCGCCTCTGGGTCAAAAGTGACTGAAGGGAATTTCTTCAATTCTAGCGGTCCGGAGTTGGGAGACGAGATTCACGTGTCTGCTTTCTCCTCTTTGGAGATGGGCTTACTGTACATAGACGACGACAATCTGGCAGAAGCGAAGGAGCAAATCAAGATCACGAGACAATACAGAGGATTCCCGCTCAGCATACCTCTGTCTTTCAAAGTTCACTCAGCGTATAAGCAAGTTAAGCGACTGCTAGAAGAAGACCCGTGCGACCAGGAAGACAACTGTTGAAGTCCTGGTGCTGCCCGCAGCAACCAATCGCCATGTTCAATCATATTCTCAATGAGACGGCTAGCTAATCGATTAATCAAACATCATCATACCTCGAAAAGATGGAGAGTTGATATTGATGCATGTCAATTACGTGTCCATGAGTAAACTTGAGCTGTGCTTGATGCCTTGGTACTTTATCCATACGTAGAGACTCGAAGTCCGCGCAAGGGGGTTGGTGGGCTCTTGTAACGCGGGATCGCTCCACTTGACTCTAGGCTACTTGTCCAGGACATCAATGAGAAAAAATGCTTCCACTCAGGCGGGATAAATTATATCCTGCAACACCTACGACAAGATTATCTGATCATCCTCGCGAGAAAAATAGCACGTCAGGTCATAAAGGCATGCGCAACATGCAAGATGTTCCACGCAGAAGCAGCAAGTCTGCCGACACCCCCTTACCAGCATTTCGAATCGAAGAGACCCCACCAGTCCATCACTTCGGGTGCGATTTCACGGGACCAGTTAGATACAAGAAGAATTCTGGCGAAATAGGAAAAGGATACATTCTCCTTTTCACCTGCGCAGTCACCAGAGCAGTCCACCAAGAATTAACGACAGACCTATCGACAGTCGAAGTTTTAGAAGCCTTAAAAAAATTCCTCAACCGGCTCCGCTCTGTGAGAACGATAACCTCGGACAACGGTCTATCCTTCCAGAGAGCCTCCGAGGAACTAAAGCTCATTCACGAGAACGTCAAGAACGGCGAAATTAGAAGACGAATCTCCGACCTCATGATCGACTGGAAATTCATCGTACCGATGGCACGGAATTTCGGGGCCTTCTACGAAAGACAAATCCAAACGATTAAGAGGCCATTCCGAAAGATCCTAGCATCCGCAGTCCCTCATTTCAGAGATTTAGAAATAATCCTCAGCGGAATCGAAGCAATGGTAAGCAGCCGACCGATGACCACGATAGCTTCAGGAGCGGATGAAATCGAAGCACTCTCGCCAGCCGACCACCTTTCCGGATACCGAGGAAGAACAATCATCCCAGAACATATATCGGAACCAAGCAAAGCGTCAGATGCGGATAAAATCGTATTCTCCAGGCGATGGAAATACCAGCAACGAATCCTCAGTTCTTATTGGAAGCGATATCACGACGAATATCTACAGTATCTGAAAACGGCCCACAAACAGACGCCTGTCGCGGCAAGACCCCTTAAAATCGACGAGGTGTGCTTACTCAAAGGAGAATCATACAAGCGGGCCTTCTGGCCGCTATGCAAAGTTATCGCGCTTCCCGATAATACCTCCCCCGAAAACGCTCGCTCCTGTACAATCAGAACAGCCAAGGGCCAAGTTTTTCATCGCCCCATCCACAAATTATATCCCTTAGAAGCACAAGACTAATTCCCTAACTTCATCAAGATTTCCTCCAGGATAAATCAAAAGATAAATCAAAACCTACAAAAGACACACAAATTCAATCAAAAACAATGAAAAATTAATCTGGAATGACTCAAGTCAAAGTCACGCCGCCTCACGGCTCTCACGGGCGAGCGCCGATAGAGGCATGCCCTGGGCCAGGCACTCTTCAATTTCGAGCTCCCGCTCAGGGATTGTGTCGTCGATCCCTCCGAGGCCACGAGAGTTTTGCACTTCTGTTGGAGCATCGCTCAATCCACGTGTTTTCATCTATTCGAAGCGCTCAGAAACTGTCAGCAGTCATCGTACGCTGTGACGACATCTAGAGGCCAGTAATTTTTTTTCAGTCCCGAGGAACCAGTCCCAGATTTAGATGCTTCGATTAGTGATCTCCCCCGACTGCGACCTTCATGATCGGATTCCCGATTTCCTTATATCTCTCCTTAATTAGGCATTGACCTAATGTCGAGCCCAGATTTTCTTATTTCGCCCGCACTCATATGGGACAGACCGAACGAGATTTCCTAATTCCGTTCCTCGTGAATGGAAGTGTGTGAGAACAATGTGTTGATATGATTGTGGCTCGGTCAATGCATGGGATGAATGATCTATGAGGATCAGCCTGCGCCAGCGAGCCTGACAGAGGGAAGGAGCCTGAGCCGGGAGTAGGCGAGAGGATGGGAGAGGGGAAGCTCGCGTCCTCAACAACTGATGATGGTGGTCGTCGGGTCGTCGGCTGTTAAAAAGCCGAGTTTATCTAATTCCTTTGTTCTCTCAGGGTCTCGACCAAAAGCGTTTCGCTACATTCGAGATGACTGAGGTATGTCGCAGGGTCCCCGTTCGGATAATTGGCTACGGCGAGAGCCAGAGAAAGTTCCGCGGGAAAGTCCGCTTGAGGAGCGTGCATAGTGGTTACATTCAACCAGCCCTCCTGTCGCTCCATCGGTTGAGGTACCTGGATCACATATCATATCGGCAATGCCTCGAATGTTGCATCGATCCATTTGGCCTCGTGTGATCAGTGGAGATGAGAGTTCTAGTTCTAGGCGATCCCCAGTCTCACCGCGGCGGCGGCAGCGCGGGCTTTTCGAAAAGTCGCATCTCATGTGCGTACACCTGTTATGTCGGAGAATGCCTCTTCCCGCCTCCTGTTTTGTTTGCCGATCCTCTGTTTCCGATGAGAATTTCGCTTTCTCTGTCCCAGGACAGGCCAGGGAACTAGCTTGAGGATCGAGAGCGTTTTGAATTGTAATTAGGCGCTGGAAACGATCGGACGCCCCGGAGACCGTTGTGCAAGGGTGGAAGGGAATCTCTTGAGATGTTGAGCTCGGCTCCCTCAAAAGCTCACATCATTCACATGATCCGCTAAAGAAAATCGGCGTTAAGTCAAGAGACGATGTCCCTGGTCTCAGGGCTCTTCTGTTGCGATAGATGAAGCCTCGTAAACTTCGCGAAAGTGAAAGTTTCTTCCCTTTGGCTAGGTTTTTCGCTTCGGATACGAAATCGTGAAGATTTTTACCCTTCCTAGCTCGATATTCGCACTTCTCCGAATTTCCTGCTCACGCGAATATTGTCGTCCCTTTCATCGCGATTATGCGAAGCACTGCATTTGAAGAGCCGTGATTTCAGAGGAGCTTCTCGCTTTTCTCGATGTGCCCCCCAGAGAGAAGGAATACGATAGCACCGATTACTCGATTACCCGTATGATCCGATTCCCGACTCGTGAGGGGCAGTGGAGCGAGCAGCAAATCTCGACTGCTGGCCCGGGTGGTGGTCAGATTCAATGATCCTCCGCGGTCGTTGGCGTCATCTTCGCTCCTTATCAAGGCTGGCTCAGATTGCGAGATCTGCAACCAGAATGCTCTAATAATTGAGAGACTTTGGAGTTGCCGATCTTCGTTTGCTCATTCCGCTGGAGACTTGCATCCTCGGAGCGCAGCCAGTACCCTCGCTCACGTTTGGGAAGAGCACGCGCTTGGCGGGCTGCATCACGAGCCCGTGGGGAGCGGACTCCTCCCGTGAGCCCCCGAAGCGAGAGCACCGTCGAAATCCGCAGGGGTGAACTTGGAGGTCGGTATTCACAGCGATGGATATCCACTGATACATCACTCATAGTGACCTCTATCTCATTGTCTCTTTTCAAAGGTACGGAATTTTCTATCCTTCGGGCTGTCTCGGTCATTCGCTGGTGCGTTGGCAGCCCTCGGAGGCTCTATAGCTCGACATCCGGCCTACTACATTGTGGTCCCGCTAATGATAGCCATAGCTCTCCTGACTTGCGCCCCAGAGGAACCACCTCAAGGAGAACGGAACGTGGTTGCAGACTGCGTCGTTCTTTTCCTCTGTCGCATGCTTCCTACTGTTGTCACAGAGCTCCCGAAATGGATGATGGGCGAAGTGAGGCCGAGGCCTTTGCTGCGTTTGTTATCCATCTTCTCGACGGGTATGTCCTGCGCTTCGTATGCCGCATTCACGATGGATCCCTCCGGATACTATATGGAGCTCCTTACCACGGCTTCCCCCCTAAGTGAGTTGTTTTCGAGGATTTCTCTTGGTGAGGAATGTCATAGTATGTACGAATCCGACCTTCGAAAACTTGGCGCACGCGGCCCGACAGCTGAATAAGCATATTATATAACATGAACCTCCTCGTTTCAAGTGATAATGATGGATGCGAAGGAGTGGATGCTCAGATGCTGGTATATCACTGACCCCAGTGAATCAATGGAGGAACGAATGAGAGAGGCATACGATCGACTAAAATGCCCCTCCCTGTGGTGGACATGGATGTCGGCTGTTCTTATGATCGCAGGTGAACCTGATGAAATTATTTGACTCGTCATACGGCTTCCGAGAGACGTCACGACTAAGTGCTCGATAAGATGTAATATTCCATCGAGACCTCGCTGAAGATTGCTTTTCTCTTCTCATGCTCCCTAGGGATTGGGAGCGAAAAAGGGGAGGGGGTGATCCAGATTGGATTCGGTGTCGCAGTTTCCTCTTTCTTCTACATCACCTTCTTCGGTGCTTGCATCTCTCTAGTATATCGGGCGCGCGAAGGAAAAGAAGACGGAGACGGAAGGCTGGGGAATCGAAATGGAAGCGTAGAAGCAGAAGTTAGAGCAAAAGAAAACAGAGGAGAGGGAAGAGCTGAGACGGAGTTCTCTCGCCCAAGGCGGAAGAATATGCTGAACGAAGCCCCGGTGATGGCCGTCGTGATCCTCACTTTCTATGCATATCTTTCGGCCGGAATCTCGGGATGCGTGCAGCTCGCACTGGAGCCTGATCAGTGAGTTCACAAATAATATTCCGCGACTCATCTTCACGTGAAGGTGTACTGACTCGGAGAAATTCGCGGAACGAGTCCGCGACGGAAGCGATCACATTCTACGAAGCTCGTTTTCCAGATCGATCGGGTCTGGGCATCGCCAGAATGTATCAAACGAATCCGGGCGTTTCTGCGATTTATACATTCTGCGCCCTGACCGCGTGGAACTCTTCATCAACGCCAGCATTGACTATCGACATCCCGAGACTCTTGAGCGGCCCATTGCCATGGTGAACGAAATCGAGAGGCTGTCTCGCGACAGCACGGAACGATTGACGGATTGCTGGTTCCAAGAGTTACCAAGTCTGTCCGACAAGGAAAGGAATTCCGCAGTCGCATCTACACATTCTCCCACCAGAGAGGAATACTTGAAAGCACTTAAGCAAAAGATTCGCGCTCGAATGTTCTCTGCTCTGAGTTCCAGGAACGATTTCCATGAGAATGAGACGACAATTCTGGGTTCTCGATGCAAGATTAACACTAAGCGAGCCGTCGACACGCGCGTCGAAAAAGACATAATAATGAGCTTGAGGCGAATTTTGGAAAAGTATCCAGACTTGAACGCCGGCGTTTGCGGCCCAGAAAACCCTGGTGTTGTTGCCCAGATCGTGATTTGTGCTGTGGTCTCTTTGATCTGCTGTTCGCTCGATATCCTTCTCTTCCGGCAAAATGTGTGCTTCGTCATCTTGCGTTTCTTATGGCCCTTCTTTGTCACTGTCGGTAACATAGGCTGCTCCAAGTGGTTCGACATGGACTTCACTTCGTTTCATTACACTCCTATTGTGATTTACTTTTTCATTTTCTTCAGTCCCTCTTGCTTCACCACGACCAAGACTTGCCGCAAGTGTTGTATCAAAACAGATTTACGAAAGAGCGAGGAACTCAGATGAGATCAAGGTTTACTTCAAAAGGATCAAGCTTGACTCCCATGGGATCGAGGTTGACTTTGGCGAGACCGATGTCGAGTCAGATAAGAGATTGCGCCCGGTGGTTCGCTGGCCCGGCGCTCTTCTGATACAG